GATTTGAATGGAAGGTCATAAATTCTTAGGCAACACGGACAGTTTCAGATAATTAGAGAAATGAACTTCAGATGATTTGAGAAGGGATCTCCAGATGATTAAGGAAATGATAATGCTAATTGAGGTGATTTGACGAGGGTATATGTTCCAGAAAGAGTCAATACGATTGAGTTGATGGTACTTCGGTAGTATTGCAGCACTTATCGTTAGGTTGGCTGCTGATATTCGGGTTTGCTTGGTAGCACCGAAGAATCTTAGAGTATCTCACGTGGGGTGATTGGGTACTAGAGGCGAGTTATATATGAGAGTAGCGGAATTTGGATCAGATATGGTAATTCATGTGTTTTATGGACTTTTGGACTAAGAGTTCTCATATACAGGTTAGCTTGTGGTTGTGGATGGCAAAATGTAGGTAAGTTAGTCAGATATTAGTATGTGCTATGCTTCAGTCATTGTGGACCTTCGAAGGATTATTTATCTGTTGTGGGTAACTGGAGTTGATGTATGGTCCATTGGTAGACCTATATGGGATATGTGTCCGGCATCGAGACAGTTTTGTTGACTTCAAGTTGCTGTTGGCGAAGGATATGTGGCTTCGATTGTTTTGAGCTATTAGCAATTATGGGGATCTATGCGTTACCTTTCTGTGTTGTGAGACGATATGATCTGTTGGTTATAGGCACCTATGGTACGGTTCTATCGGAGTTTCATAATGGAAGTCGAGCGGGAAGAGTAATTTGGTGTTGCTCGGTGAACGGCGTATCGGTTATGTCCTATCGGGTGTGCGTGGTGTATGTTATTTGCTTCACCACGAGTATGATGAATTGCTTTGGTTCCAGATATCAAATTGTATGTGGTTGTCGTTTTCGGGCACAGTGACTTAAGGTGGTTCCATGTGGAGCAGTGTTTAAATAAGGTCGCGCATTGCAGTAAATATATGTGGAGGTATGCCCTTGCAGGTTATATTCGTGTGTTATGTTCCTATGATGTGAGACGGGTTCTCAGTCTTGTGTTGTGGTGGTACTAGTGAACTTGAGGTTCAGCTCTTTCATTTGAGTCATTTTCATGATTTGAGTATGTTCGGATTGTTGCGTATTGATGCGTGTATTGTGCAAGTTGTGGCTTAGGTCTGTATGGATGTGTCATGTCACCAGAGTAATGTGTTGGATTAGAGGAGATCGTTGGGGATCATTAATAAATACAAACGGATTCGATTTCAGCATGTTTGATGGGTAAATATCGAGGTTCGATTCAGAAATTTGCTATGGTCCTTGCCAAAGGAGAAGTAACCTTATGGATGACTGATCTGAGAGATGGTTATGATTTATTGTGTGTTTCATTTAACATTGGCAGTATATGGAAGTGTTGGAATGAGACTTTAGTTGATAAGAGGTTTCTACCGATATTCGGGTGTTGTGTGCAGCTTCTATGAATGGAAGTTATCGCTACATGTGTTTGAGTTACGTGGTATATCGGATAATTGCACTTGAGTTTGCAGGCATGGGTTACTACAGCTAGTTCGGGTCTATTCAAAGTATAAATGTGAGGTTTTGATCGTATTGATGTTTTCAGAAGTGAAAATGTGGTTCTATGGTCTATGAGCTAGATTGGATTATGTAATTTTAGTTAAACGGTGTTATCAGACCTATATGAGATAGGGTGACGTGGGATCACCCCCGGCTATATGCATGGTAAGGTTATTCATCGATTGGTGGGCTTTTAGAACAGCTCTGGGTACGTTCGAGGACGAACGCGTGCTTAAGTGGGGGAGGATGTAACGAACCGACCGGTTGTTTTGAACTTTTTCACTTTGATCGCCAGTTTTCGGGCATGACTTGCCCTGTGTAACGTATTATGACTGATGTAGATCATTGGTTTTGGTTTTCAGGAAAAATCGGAATGAATTTGAAGGAACAGTCTCAGTTGAAAGCTTTGAATTTGAAAGATTGACTAAGAGTTGACTTATTTGTATATGAGCTCGGATCGGAAATTTTAGGATTTGGATAGTTTCGTTGGGTGATTTATGACTTAGGAGCGCGAGCGGAATGCATTTTGGAAGTTCGTGGAAGGATTTGGCTTGAATTGGCAAAGTTAATATTTTGGCGAATTCCGGTTGATAGGTGAGATTTTGATCATGGTTGGAATGGAATTCCGAGAGTTGCTGTAGCTTCGTTATGTCATTTGTGATGTGTCTACAAAATTTCAGGTCATTTGGACGTCGTTTGGTCGACTTTTCGATCGAATTCGGATTTCAGAAGTTTTGGAATTTTTAGGCTTGAATCCGAGGGTGATTTGATGTTTTGATGTTGTTTTGAGCATTCCGAAGGTTGGAAAAGTTTGAATTATGTTACGGGGTGTGTTGGCATGTTTGGTCGGGGTCCCATAAGGCTTGGATATGTTTTGGAAGAGTTTTTGGAAGATTTTGGCATTATGATTATAAGCATGTAATGATCCAAAGGTCCATTTTTAGTTCTAGAGATCGAATTTGATTTTGAGACTTCCGGAATTTTGATAATGAATTATAGGACTGATCTGGAAAGTTTGGTCTAATTTCATCAAGTCGCGATTGGGTTTTTGACACGAAATATGAATTAATTGTTTAACGAGTGAAATAGGTATTAAACTGAGCAAATGAGCTCCGAATTGAGTTTCGACTGAAGGGCTATGTTCGTATTATTATTTGTGACTCATAGGAACAAGAATCATCGAATTCTGAGTTCGTATGATGGAGTTAGAGCCTTTTTAGTGAAAAAAAAAGCTGCTGCAATTTTCTGGGCAGTTTCTGCATTTTTTCGCACATGTGAACAGTAATCGCACCTGCGTGAACAGTATCCGTATACAGTACCATGTACAGTAAAGATGAACAGTATCCGTGTACAGTACCTATGTACAGTACATATGAACAGTATGATTCGGGCAGTCCGAGAGTTTTCTCATTTTTGGAGCTATGGAGCTCGGATTGAAGCGATTTTCGAAGCGATTTTCACCATATGGATTGGGGTAAGTGTTCTATATCCAAAAGTGATTATATTTAATGATTCCATGGCTATTTTCATCAATAATTAGTGAATCAAATGGAAGAAATTGGAGAAAATTTGTAAACTTTTCAAAAACAAAAATTCTAGATTTGGAGGCCGAATTGTTCTCGGATTTTGGCAATATTTGTATGGTTAAACTCATGGAAGGATAAGGGACCCGTTGATGTAAAAATTTCTGAGTTTCGAGAAGTGTGCGCGGGGCTCGGGTTTTGCTAATTTCGGGATTTTTGATACTTTTCGATTGTTTTCGCTTGGGCTTTGCTCCCTTAGCATATTGTGATGTATTCGTTCTGATTTTGGATAGATTCGACGCGCGTGGAGGCCAATTTGAGGGGAAAAGGCGTCGCGAGCTAGAGATTTCGCCGGTTCGAGGTAAGTAATGATTGTAAATACTGTCCTGAGGGTTTGAAACCCGGATTATACTTCGTTGTGTTACTTTGAGGTGACTTGCACGCTGGATTACGAGCGTGGGGTAGAGCACCGCTGGGGATTGTGACCTAGTCCATCCCAAACGAATATTTTAATGCGTATTTGATAGTTAATTGTTTGACATTATTATATTTTTGGACTGTATGCCATGTTTGGGGCCTTGTGCCGACTTGTTGAGACCCTTAGGTGCATTTTTAATATCTTTCCTCACTCTATTTGTTTGAAAGCATATTCTCAGTCATGTTTTACCTGTTTACTACTCAAATTTGGTTTTAACACTATATTTTTAAAATGTGGAAATTGTTTTGGGCTGAGTTCCCTGTATTACTGAGATAGACCGAGGGTCTGATTGTGAGATTGATGACTGAGATAGACTGAGAGTCTGATGGTGAGGTTAATGACTGAGAGAGGCCGAGGGCCTAGTTGTGAGGATTATATATCTATGGATCAGGCTGCACGCCGCAACAATGTATATATATATGTATATGGATCGGGCTGCACGCCGCAGAGATACTTATATGGATCGGGCTGCGCACCGCAACAATATAGCGCTTGGGCTGTAGGAGCCACTCCGGAGTCTGCACACCCCCAGTGAGCGCAGTCGACTATTTATATGGATCGGGCTGTGCGCCACAGCGATGTATGGATCGGGCTGCACACCGCAGCGGTTACTTTGATTTCAGTTATTGTGAGAGATATACGGATCGAGCTACACGCCGCAACGGTTACTATATGGTACCAATTGAGCGTGAATGGTGAGTGCCAGTANCTGTTTTGCCCGAGGGGCTGTTTTACAAACTATGTTTTGCCCGAGGGGCCGATTATGGCTGTAATCTCCATTATTATCTTAAATGGTACTGAACCCCTACCGAAACTGCTGGAAAGTATTTCAAAATGATTTTTACTAAAAGCTGGATTTTAAAAGGGAAGATTGACTCATATTATGATTTGAAGGCCTGTTGTGTTTATTGAGCCTAACGTGAATGTGGATTCATTATTTCCTATTGCTCAGCCTTTATTTACTCTTATTACTTACTGGGTTGGAGTACTCACATTACTCCTTGCACCTCGTGTGCAGATTCAGGTATATCGGAACCCGGTAGCGGGTGTTGATAGCTCAGCCGCGGAGTCATCAGAGTTAGCAAGGTGGTTGCATGACGTTCGCAGCACTGCTTCCTTCCCCTCATTATTGTTACTGTATTTAGTACATTTTTAGACTTTTGTTGTATTCAAACCTTGATAGTTGCTCATGACTAGTGACACCCGATGTCGGGCGGGTATTTTATTTTGCACTGTTATTTCAGGATTTTATTATGAAATATTATTTAATTTAAAGACTTAAAAATGACTCTTAATGCTTAAAGGATTAAGATGAGTGTTATGTCGGCTGGCCTTGTCTTCACGAGAGGTGCCATCACGACCGGACCGGTTTGGGTCGTGACATTTACATTCACAAATGTCAACTTTTATAACAAACATGAAATAAATGTGAAGCAAATATTTTTGCACAGTAACCAAATAACAAAATAACAATATAAAAAGTACTTAGTACAAGATAGATAATGTCAAATCAAATGATTTGTTCTCACGTAAAACCACTAACTAAATCATAAAGGATAGTAATTTCAATGTGTAAGTACTTTAAGATCGCTCCTAATTCGAATTAATTTTCCTCAACTTCTAGAGTAAATATTATAAAATCAACTCTCCACAAGTCAAGCTTTTTACTGCCAGTAATTGACATCACTTTCTTCAAGAATGCTGCACAAGAAGTCACAAGAAAAAAAAAGAATTATACCTTTATAATAAAGTGAATTCTTTCCTCCTCTAAAACAATTGGAATACCAAAAATAATTACATTAATATGTTCTAAAAGAGAAACAAATTGATAATGAATGTAATACTAGCAACTGAAGAGAGAAAGAAACAGACAACATAAGCAATAATCCAAGAAAGTGAACGCAACCGCCCAAACCGAACAACAACTGAAATATTGCAATATCATAATGCAGTTGATGATATTTTTTTGGTTGTGGGGGGATGTGAGGAGAAGGGAGAAAATATAACTCCACCCGATGGAGGTTCTGCTAAATTTAAATAAATATAAACACGATCAGGCCTAAAAAGCTAAATACAAGTAAGCACACATAAAGCTACCTGCCCAAGAAAGGTTAAAACAAAATCTAAATGAGATAGCTCATTTTGGAGAATCTATTTACCTCTAAGATAATAATGAATTTTTTGCAACAAATGCTATATCAATAGTCAATAATGCACTTTCATATCAGAGTTCAGCATCGATTTTGTACTAGAAAAATGGTGTTCAATACAATACACAATTTCACCCTTTACCAAGGAAAAGAAAATGTTCAGCTATTCTCAATTCATCTTGCACTTAAGAAAACCATTCCCTACTCTTTTAGTTTTTATTTTTCTTCGAGACTGAGGCAAAAACAGGGTGGGAGAGGGGAGGGTTGAATTATAAAATATTAGTTTCCGTAAATTGTATACTGAGATGAAAAATAATGAATGTTATATAAGTTTTGCAAACTATAACATGAAGGGTTTCTCCCTTTGAAAAGAAGGAACAAGAACCTTGTAATTTTTTCAAACTTATCCGCTTCTTTTTCTTTGTGTCAACTTCACTAACTCCAGTCTTCTTGATTATGTTAACCTGAAAAGAAATATTAGATTGGTTACTCTGGTAGTTTACAAAATTTATAACTTAAAAAATTGTGAATACAAGATATAAAAAAATAGAACAAAGTCATATAAAACAGAACACTTTTATGGAACAAAGACCAAAACTTTCTATAGCATATTCATACTAATTAGCAGCAGTGAATATTATCTGGAGGAAGAAAGAATGTGCCCAAATATTATACACACTGCAGAGTGTGACATGATCAAATACAGAATACAACAATGAAAGCGTCTACCCTCTTCTGATAAATAGGCTTCACTCCATTAATTTATGGTAACTTATATATAGTATACCTTTATAAGGAGGATGCAATCAATTATTAATGAGCAGAATAAGTTGTGCCAATAAATTCAATCTTTAATCATATATTGAACAGGGAAAAGCAAACATGTGCAGAATGCTACCATGCTTTATGGCCTTTGTTACAAAACTAGGGGAACAATTCCACAAGAGCTCACTAACCCAGATATGGCTACGCATACAACGTGGTAGACATGAAAAAGATTTAGTTAAAATGAGTTTACGAACTCACCATCTTTGTGTGAACAAGTGAAACAGGTGATAGTGATTGTTGGTGATCGTCCATTGAGTTAGCAGAAACCTATAACAAAAGAGAAAGGTTGCTACAATTAAAAGAATACTAAATTACAAGATTATCTTAAATACAATAAATATTTGCTAAAAGGCACAATATTTTTTACCTGTTCATCACCAGATAATTTCTTAATTGAGCCAATAGTAATACCCAATGATTCTAGATATGCATGTATACCAAGCTTTACTTTATCGTTTATTTTTGCATCCATATCCTTTGATGCTTCTAACATTTTTCCCCCAACGCTTTTATTTATTCTTTTGCTTCAAATAACTTTTTCTCCGTCGCTTCTATTTCTTCTTTTGCTTCAGACAATTTTTCTTCCATTGCAATTCTCATAGCGGAGGTAGCTTTTTCAACTTCTATCTCAACCCTTCTATCAAAATCTCTTTGCTCAGCCTGGGATCGCTTATATGCAGGGCCATAAACAATACTTGGAGCTGCTCCTTTTCCTAAAGTTCGAACATTTCCATAAGTGTCTGGTCCCATAACCTGTGCATACACATCATTGGGAGCACTTCTAAGGACATTTAACTCGGGATACACCTTAGCAAGTTCATCCATTTCTTTCTTTTGGAAGGAAATGGTAAAGCAATACAAAGTTAATAAAATTTTATATTGGAAAGAAAGTAATTCATATTCATAAAGAATGGGAATTTACCATAGTTTCATCAGCTATCTCATTTACTAGTTGTTTATTCTTTCTCGTATGTGTTTCTTTGAATACATCGATACGACTTGATTTTACACCATTCTTCTTTGTCATATGTTTAAATAGTAAAAAATTTGTTGCCAATATATTCAAGAAAATTAGTATTGATATATAAATTGGAGAAAAGCTTATAGTAAATATGGTATACATCATCTACAATTTGAGAATGACTTTTTCTTCCTGATGTGTGTGGCATACTCAACTTCCTTCGACTTTCTTTGTTCCTTTCGCTCTTTTCCTAAAAACGTTACACGTAATTTTATATATTAGAGCTAATTCATGGCCAAACCTTAGACAAAAGAATAAAACTTTTAAAAGAAAAAAGAGAAAAGATAACAAGAATTACAGAGGAAAAGCATAAAAATATTTAAAGGAAAAAGTGTGATCCGCATAAGGAATGCGCTAATAGCATGTGCTAAGGGCAAGAGAAGAAGATGTTTGATGCTCGGAGAATACCATTGCTTCGTTAGAGCTCCAATAATGAACTAATGCACGACATTGGTCTTCTTCTATCATGTTTGGATGTTTAGCTAAGCGCTCGATATTGTTGTTGTATGGCTCATAACCAATCATTTTTGCTTCATGCTTCCATTCTTTCCATTTAGATCCAACCTATATCATCAACATATGTATCATATCCTCAGTTGCATCAGTATTTTCCTGCAAACATCAACATATAACACATGTATACAAGCATAAAATCAATAAGCATCTTAGTATATAACCTTTTTCTTTAATTTTTTAAGCACCTTAATATGAGCCCATATCCTATTCTTGTACAGTTTAGGCACAAGCCTCCAATCTTTATGATTTAAAGGAGCGAAAATGCCATTTCGTTCTATAACTACAAGTTTTGAACTCAATCTAGCTGCATCAGGTCCAATAGCTTGACTAAGATTATTCAACTCAACATGTAAAATGCCACCATCTTTTCCCCATCCTGAGTGCATCATAGTAGGACCTCTAGGTCGCTTAGATTGCTCTTCATTAGCACTAGAGTCTACAATGACCAAATATAAAAAAGAGAGTCATCCATAACTAGTAAAACTCAATTAATTTTCCTTTTTCTTCTTTTAAATATTCACATATAAACACACCATTAATACCAAGGGATTAGAATAATATAGTGATAGAGGAAAAACTGTTGAAAATGAAGCATATATGTTTTTGGGAAAAGAAACTACAACAATACAGGTAGGTATAGTGATATGAATTCTTTCTTGGATAACGTATCTGCTAGACTATTAGGGCCTCAGCTAGATCCATTAACATCTCTTTCTTATTTCTTTTTTCCTTTTTTGGTTAAAAATAAGTAATTGTATATGACACTCTTAAATATAATTTAATTAATCCTGGACAGATTACATTGTAGTATATCCATAGTGTAAAGTACAACACTTCAATTATTAACAACCAGAAATAGTGGAGGGCAACACACAGACCAAGCGTATTATACACTCAGTTGTACAGAATACATACCTAAGAAATTTTCTGTTTCATGTGAATCATTTCTTGATTTACCAGATCGGATAGCTTGTCCTTCATGTTGTGGCCAGTTTTGAGGTGGTTGAGGCATCACCGCACCGCCCATTTCTTCTTCTTGTTGCTCCGAAAAATCAGGCAGAAGCATTTCTTGACTGGAATTTTTATGTCTTTTTCTTGCCATCACAATAAAATTGCTCAAAAACTACAGTTCCTGCAAAATTGAAAAATATTTTCCACTATCCAGACGTATAAAATAATATCAAACTAGCAGGCCAAACAAAAAGACACATACACACATGAGATTTAAACAACTAAAAAGCATAATAAGAAATCTCAAACTCGATGATCTATGTTTAATAACAATCTTTACTAAAATAGTGACAAAAATAATAAAAGTAACTAAGATATGTCGTCTTCTTCATCATATGTTTCAATACTTTCCAAAGTAAGTGGGTCAATTTCTATTTCCGACACACCTTCTCTAACCCATTTAATAGCCTCTTCATTTTCAAATATAATATCATCTAGCTGTTGTTCGGGCCACAATTCCATGTGCTCTTCCATTTGCTCATTTACTGGTTTGTTTTCACCTAAATTATAACAACCTCTTGGTTTAATTTCCACTACAATCTGCCATTCTTTTGCTATTGGATGATGGACATAAAACACTTGTTGAGCTTGAGAAGCAAAGATGAAAGGTTCATTTGACGGATGCTGCCTTTTGTAGAGTAGCTGAGAAAAATTAACAAGAGTAAATCCATAATCATCTTCCACAATAAGACCCTTTTTGTTGTCCACCCATTCGCATCTAAATAGTATAAACTTGAGGTTTGCGATATAATACAACTCAATTATATCCGTGAGAATTCCATAAAAGGTGACTTCTGCTAATATAGGATTTCTGTCTCTTGCGCTTGCATAGCTCTGAGTGGTAGCCTTTACCATAACTCCACTATTTTGTGTTTTTAGCTTTGCATCACGAGACTTTGTTAAGTATCTAACTCCATTACTTATATATCCATTCATCCTTTTTGCTTGCTTTGATGGGCCAATAGCTAGATTTTGAATTTCTTCTGGTATTTGCTCACCTTCCATGTGTATCTTCTCAACCTATAAATAAGCAAGAACTAATTAAAAATTGATACTATATATAGTGTGTGTGTGTGTGTATATATAAAAGCATTTAAGCTGGTTCACAGTTACATGTTTTCTAAACCATATGTGAAATTTTTCATTGTGAATTTGATCCACATCATGTCTCGATAGACGAGGATTTTGCTTCTTGATTTCTTTTATATGCTCACTACAAAAGTAAAACATATAAAAACTTAATAAAAGAAATTATAAATACTATTACTTAATAATTAATTATAAAGCAAAATATTATTGAATACTTACTCGCGGTATGGCGTTATGGTAGCAGAATTAAATAAAACATATCTGTGTGCTTGGGCATGAGTAATGTCATCAAGCATAAACCCCTCTATTTTAGTTGACTAACGACCCTCTTGATTTGGAATCTCATTATACAAACCATAATTTCTCAAAGGTCGATTTAACTTTGTCTCCACATCATGTAGATATCTTGAGCAGAATGTCATGCACTCTTCTATCCAATATCCCTCTGCAATTGAACCTTCTGGATGCCTTCTACTCATCACATAATTTTTAAGAGTAAGCAAGTACCTAAAATAATAAATAATATTATAGTTCAATATAATACTTCATAAGTACAATAAATAAGAATAACGAAATGATACCTTTCAAATGCCCACATTGAACGATATTGTGGAGGTCCACCAATCTTTGCTTCTTCAGCTAAATGGATGACTAGATGTTCCATGATATCGAAAAAAGATGGAGGAAATATTCTCTCCAAATGACAAAGAGTTATTGCAACTCGATCTTGGAGCTTTTCTAATTCACCTATGTTCATAACTGTTGAACAAATGCCCCTAAAAAATTATTTAATTCAATCATTGGCTTAAGGACATTCATTGGAAGGAGACCTCGCAAAGCAATAGGAAGGAGTTATTGCATTAAAATATGGCAGTCACGACTCTTCAATCCATGCACAATGCGTTGCCTAAGATCAACACAATATGATATATTTGAAGCATATCCATCTGGTACTTTCACATCTCTTAAAACTTGTAAGAGCATATCTTTTTGTACATTGCTCAAAGTGAAACATGCAGGAGGTAGATAGTATTTGCCATTAGCTCTTTTTTTAGGGTGCAAAGCCTTTCGAATCCCAATCTCTTGTAAATCCAAACGAGAATTCGGATTATCTTTTCCTTTCCCCTCAACATTTAGTAATGTCCAGAATATATTGTCAAATACATTCTTTTCAATATACATTGTGTCAAGATTATGACGAATCATGTTGTCTTTCCAGTAGTCTAACTCAAAAAATATGCTCTTTTTCTTCCATAAATATTGCAACATGGCATCGTCAACATGATCAGAATTCTTCCATTTTCTTTTATTGGATTTGGCCGATAGATGTTTTCCGAATTTATTTTTAATACCTTTCAATTGCTTAAAAACTTCAATACCTGACAAACATTTAGGTGCTGCCTCTAACTCCTTAAAACCATCAAACGAAACTTTATCTTTTCGAAACTTGTGCCCATGGGGTAACCAACGCCTGTGCGACATGAAGCAATATTTTCGCCCATATTTCAATCTCAAAAATTTAGTCTTGGTCAGACAACATGGACAAGCATATCTTGTTTTCACACCATATCCTGATAAGTTACCTAGTGCTGGAAAATCACTGACTGTCCAAAGCAATGAAGCACACATTTGAAACATATGATTCTTTGACGCATCATAAGTTTCAACACCAACCACAATTCTTTTAACTCATCAATTAACGGTCATAGATATATATCAATATCATTTCCTGGTGCATGAGGGCCATCAATAATCATTGATAATATCATGTATGGTTGCTTCATGCACAACCAAGGTGACAAGTTATATGGAACCAAGACAACTGGCCATGTGCTATGTGAGATATACATAGACTTGAATGGATTAAATCCATCTGAAGCCAACCCAAGTCTAACATTTCGAGGATCTTGAGAAAAATCTTGATGCGATTCATCAAATTTTCTCCAGGCAATACTATCAGCAGGATGCCGCATTACCCCATCTTTAGTGCGACCTTCCGCATGCCATCTCATATCGGTAGATGTTTTAGATGACATGAATAATCTTTGAAGCCTCGATATCAATGGGAAGTATCTAAACACCTTTGCTGGAATTTTTGAGGTTTCCAAACTACCAGATTCACCAACAAATTATTTGTATCTTGGAGCTTTGCAAAACTTACAATCAGTTCGATCTTTTGTGTCACTCGAATAAATCATACAATCATTTGGACACGCATGTATTTTTTGTATTCGAGTCCTAAATCTTTAATAATTTTTTTTGCATCATTAAAGGACTTAGGTAATATTTCACCTTCAGGAAACACATCTTTTAACAACTCTAACAACATGGAAAATGAATTATTACTCCACCCATTGAGACACTTTAAATGTAATAGACGAACAAGAAAAGAAAGAAGTGAATATTTGCTTCCAGGATATAATTCACGCTCAGCTTCTTTCATTAAGTTAAATTTTTTTTCAGTTTTCTTATCAAATCCCACATTATGTTCATTTGACCCACCAAAACTATCACCATGAGTGTCCATATTAATAAAGTCACTAGTAGGAGGAATCTAAAAGCATCATGTACCAAGTCTTGTATGTCATCACCTCTATATAATCTATCAACAGACATTGATGAAGATGATGCCTCACCTTGAAAAATCCAATTAACATAACTAGGTAGAAATCCATCAACCACAATATGTTCAACAATCAACTCTTTCAAGATAAATTTCATATTACGACACTTCCGACATGGACACAAGATTTCAGATGCATTAGGCCTATCCTATGAAGCAAAATGAAGAAACTTTTTGGCTCCATTCTCATATAGAGGATCATTCCTATTCAATATGTTTATCCAACTCTTATCCATTAAGAATAACCTATACATATAGCAAAAAAATCAACTAAAAAAGAGTACTTATTGATAGAAACTAGAAAGATTATAGCACAGACTATATGTATAGACAACAAAAACTTTTACTTGATAAAAATTAATATAAATATATTTATTAAAAACAACAAAACGAGGTACTCCTCACAAAGATTAACACCAAACCTTCTCTCTCTCACACACACCAAAAGAAATACAAGATCCAATTTTTTCAACCAAAGCGGACAACAAAAAGAATAACCAATATGTTACTATACAATAATCAACCCTTTAATCACCAAGAAACCAATAATTTAACTGAACTCAATAATCTACCATTAAATAGTGAAAATCTTATATCCAACTTTATCAATGTAATAAATAACAAACGTCCAGAAATACACTGTTTGACCACCAAAAAATCAAAATCAATCTACCAATCAATACCTAAAAGAGAAAATTCTTAACCCAAATCCGAACAATTAAGAAAAAGAAAGAAATCTGTTAACCCAAATCCGAACAACTAAGAATAAGGAAAAATATATGTTAACTAAATTGGGTACCTTGAATTTATAGCAAACAAGCTTTGTGGATCTCAGCAGAAAAAGCCTTAGCGATTTTCGTCTCCAAGTATCTATTATAGCACAGTAGAATGCAAAAAATTAGGTCTTTTTGTAGAATTCTAACTAAGGAAGGAAAACTATATTTTTTAGAATTGGGAGGAGGGAAGCAAAATTCTTACCGCCAAAATCTTTTCCTTCTAAATCTCCAATACTTTCCATACATAGCTCCTTTTGAGTCTTGGGGTGGAGGGAGCGGACTTGAGAAATTTTGTCAAACCCAATTTGAGATTTTGAGCCAAAATTGATTTTGAGAGAAGAGAGGGGATGAGTCCTGGTGCTTCTAAGGCTTACGGCTTAGCTTTCTCAATTGTCTATTGGTTCCTTGATTTCATATATATTTTTGTTTTATTTTAAATATTTCATCTTTAAATTTAACATCTAAAAAGTTGTAGTAATAATAATATTTTGTTTGAATAAACATTAATATTTTAATTAAAAGCTTTAAATCGGCAATTTTTTTTAAAAGGCAAGGCATATGACGCGTGGGCATTTCACTTAATATCGGGGGGNTATCTAACATGTTTTACAAGTATAAACAATGCAATAGTGTTAAAATTGTTATCAAACTACATATATTTGATTACTTCCCTAACAGCTTGTTTGGATGGTTGTTACGCATCGTGTCATAATGTATCGTATCGTAATGTATCGTATTGTACTGTATCGTTTGATAAAACAATGTTTGGATAGATTGTGTCATTTGTCATCGTTTCATGATATCACGCACCAGCAATATGAAGAATAAACTTGTAATATTATAAAGAAAAATTATGATACAGGGTGTATTATATTACAATATAAAAAGATAGGGTAAATGATAAAATAAAATTATTTAATAATAATAAAGGGTGAGATTGAGAGAAAAAGACAAGGTAACAACGCAACCACACCAAATCGGTTGTTACATAAAGTGACACATTTCGTCATTATGTATCGACGAATTTAACAATACGATACAATAAAATTTAAGTAACAATCAAAACAAACATCGTATTTAAAGTAATAACATGATACAATACAATGGATAACAACCATCCAAACAAGCTGTAAAAGGCTAGAAGTTACAAATTAAATTATTCTCAAATTACACATTTAATTACCTTCCTTAATAATCAATAAACTTTATCAATATTATAATTCAAAATATTACCCCTTCAGAAATAAATACAAAGCATTAAAGTCTCTTTTGGTAGAAAAAAAACTAAGAAATAAAAATTAATAGCGAGTGAATATATATAGTTTGACTATCTATATATTCAGAGAAAATGTTAAAATAATATTAACCCTCACGATGTTCTCACTTAGTGAATATACAATACTATGACTCGTTATTTGAGTTAAGATCATTCATTTGTTAATGTATTTTGAGGGTCAACACTATTAATCAGAAAATTGAATAGTTGATTTACCTAGTACTTATTGAGCGAGCGCAAACGCTGAGCAATAGGCGTGTAGGATGCATAATCTTATGTTTGGGGTGCATGTAATTAAGCCTCTCAAATTAAGCCCTACACTTGAGCCGCCTCAAGACATTGTGCAAATGCCTCGCCCAGGAGCTAGTCTTGGACAAGCCATTTAAAATATTAAGCAACAAGAAGCGAAATCGTCTATATTGTCGGTAATTATAATATTTTAACAAATTAAATATTAAATATAAAGGGTGTGATATTTTTTTTAAGACAAAGAATGATTAAAAATTTAGAAAATATAGAGAAATTTCCAATTGTAGATGTTAATGTTCGTAATTACCGACAAATAATATGACATTTAAAGTAAGGTCATATTTTTTTGTCATTTGTATCAAAAGTTTTTACAACATTGTTAAAGTGTCGTATTTTTACTATAGTTTGGACCAAATGTCATTATTTTTATGACATTTTATACCAAATGTCATTCTTTTTATGACATTTTGTATCAAATGTCTAATTTTTACGATATTTTGTAGCAAATGTCGTACTTTTTAAGACATTTATTAAAAAATGTCATTATGTTGATGACATTTTGTATCAAATATCGTTGTTTTAATGATATTTCCTATCAAGTGTCATTTTTTACAACATTTAGTATCAAATGTCATTATTTCTATGACAATTAATATTAAATGTCGTAGTTTTTACGACATTTTGTCATAAATGTCAAAAAAGGAAGTTTTCCGACATTTATTTCAAAAGTCACTAAATAAATATCGCCGTATCCTCAATTTCCTGTAGTGGCCCAGAGCAGCAGCGCCAACGATGGAGCCTCAGTTTGACTTTGATGATGAGGTTCCAGCCCAAACAGTTCCGGTAGGCCCAACTCAGGTCCCAGAGGGGTTTATTGCTGCCGCAGCACTCCAGGATACTCTGGTCTGTCTAATGGGCCTTATGGAGATTGTCACCCGGACAGGCTTGCTTTCTGTAGCACCAGAAGTCTCTCGGGCTAGAGGAGGAGCCTAGACTCCTGCTACTCATACTCCGGAGCAGATGACTCCCCAGTTTCAGACTCCAGCAACTCAGCCAGTTGGAGCAGTTCAGCCGGGTGTGG